GCGCAAATCGAAGCGCAAAGTGGCGAGGGACGACTTGTATAAATAAAGAATCCTACTTCGTGGAAATTCATTTATCGCAGTAGAGTCTGGAACTGATTAACTGCGATAAACGAGGACCGACTGTATAGTAGCCGGATACAATCCATAAGGTGACTGGGAGTAAGTCTTAAGCCAGATAAGACCTGTATGCAGAAAAATTTTAAACTTTATTGGAAGATACGAAGAAGACTTACAACTGGACACGTTCTGTTCCTGGAGTGAGAGCTCAGTAAGGTGTTGGTTCCCCCAAACTTCCTTGCTCAGTGGGATTCCAGTCCAAGCCCAGCAGGGCTTTTCTTCCAGCATGACAAGCTGATGCGAGAGCTCATGTGAGAATAGCCAAGGGCTGACTGATTAAAATGCTCCTGAAGAAGAAGGGCATTTGCCCTGGAAATATCAGAACTCACAGTGTCTGCCTGGCCAGTGTGGCTCAGTGGACTGTCATCTCATGCACTGAGAGGTTGCTGGTTCAATTCCTGTTTGGGGCATGTGGCCGGGTTGTGGGCTTGATCCCCAGTATGGGGCGTGCGGGAGGCAGCTGATCGATGTCCCTCTCTCTCTCACTCTTCCTTTTTTTCTAAAACACCAATAAAAATGTATTTTAAAAAATAGCATCTAGAAGGAGTGACGGCCCAAGACACTGAGCACACCTAGCATCCAGACAATGACTTTTTTTTTTTTTTTTGATTGATTTTTAGAGAGGGAGGAAGAGAGAGGGAGAGAGATGGAAACATCGATGAGAGAGACATCGATTGGCTGCCTCCTGCATGCCCCCCACTGGGGGTCTGGCCCACAGCCCGGACATGTGCCCTGACCAGGAGTTGAACAGGCGACCTCCTGGTGCATATGTCAATGTTCAAGCAACTGAGCCACACCAGCTGGGCCAGATGATGGCTTTGAAATGTCATTTTCCACATGGAGCCCAGGCTGCTGAGGAGAGAGCTGATTCCAGGGCAGGACAGGAGCTGAGGTAGCCTGGGACACATGCAGCCCAAAGGGGATGCTCAGGCTGGTGGGCACATGTCCAGAGGACACAGGAGCAAGCTTGGAGGGGCGTCTGTTGGCCGAACTTGGGATAACGAACTTCAGAACTAAGAATTAGTTATAGCACTTGGGAAGAAAGGAGGAACGTCCATGAGTCCACAGTGCTGCCCTCATAGCTCCACAGAAAAATGCAGAAGGAACAGTTAAGTGAAAACGACCACTTTACTGATCGGTTCGGGCCGGAGTCGTCGATGCATGCAGACAACTTCAGAGGAGCAGGTTTGGCACCACCCTCGAAGGCTCTTCCACAGATGCAGAAAGCAACAGAGAGAAGGAGCTTTTGGTGAAGAATCCGGCAAATAGCATCTGACAAGTGGTGAGAACCAGCAACCGGGCAAATCCAAATTGAGGGTCATGTTGCAAAATTGCCTGTACCCCAAAAATCTGTGGTGAAAGGTTAGAGAATATCTAGACTTATGTGTGAAGGCCACACAGTGTGTGGCCCTGATTGGGCCCCAGGTGGGGGAGCTGTGAAGGATGTCACTGGGACACGCAGCTGGGGAACCGCGTGTGGACTGGGACACATCACTGCACTGCCTGAGCACATGGGGACTACGGTGGTGTGACTCCCACGCAGGAGACAGGAAAGGGCCTTGGAACTGACCAGAAATCAGAAGTGGGCCTGTGCACAGCGGTGTGACGGGTAGAAAAGGCCTTGGGAGCACACGGTGCTGAGGGCGGTGGGTGTTCTGCTTCACCTCACCCGGGATCCACTTCCGAGGGATTGGCTGCCAGGTGAAGAGTGGAGCTCTAAGACATTTTTATTTTTTAAAACGGCTTTATTGAGGCGTAATCTACACGTATTTTGTGTGTGTGGTGTGATAAGTGCTGTCATGTTTACACCCTCATTAAACCATTACCATAATCAGGATAGTTGATGTATTCATCACCCCCAAAAGTTTCTGGGTCTCTCTTGTGGTCCCTTCACCCCCACCCTCTGTCCCCAAGTCACACTCATCTGCTTCTGTCCCTGGTTAGTTTGCATTTACTGGAGTTTCTGTGAAGGGAGCAGGCCTATGTTCTCTCAAGAGGCATCCACGCAGTGTCAGTGGTCACTGTGTTCCTGGGCCAGAAGCACCCTGGACAGGCATGCTCACCCCACTGACGTGAGCGTCCGGTGTCAGGCACTCCTCCAGAGCTGCTTGAGCCTTTACGTCCACCCTGTGCTGTTCCACTTCTTGTCCCGGGTAAGCAACTGGGTGAGCGGCCGAATGAGACGTGGGAACCGCCCACTGTCAGCAGTGCATGGGCTTCGTTGGCGTGTCTGTCTCATCTAAGTTACTGAAACTATTAGCATAGAGCAGTTTATAGTTCTTCCTGTTAGCGTTCCAATGTTTGTAGAGTTTTGTTCTGCCACCTGTCTTTGATCTGGTGCTTTGTGCCTCCTTTCTTTTTCTTGAGCAATCTGCTAGAGGTTTATCAAAAGCCTTCTCAAAGAACCAGCTTTTGGTTTGTTTTCTATTTCATTGATTTCCACTGTTGTCTTTTATTTCTTCTCTGCTTGCTTTGGGTTTCTCATTCAGATGGAAGCCGAGATTATTGCTCTCTTTCTAATAGGGTGTCACTTGCTGCGAGCTCCCCCCAGCACATGCAGCAGCATCTTGTGACCCTGCTGTGCTGGGCTTTCCTTTCACTCGGTGACCAGTGCTCAGCCCGTGAGCTCTTCCCTGATCCAGGGTTGTTCGGCTTGGTGTGTGTGTGAGCAGCCATTTGTCTTGCTCACTGAGTATATGGGATTTGGGAAGGGCATAGCTGGAAAGTCTTGTCTCTGCCTCTGACTATCCGTGGCCTCATCTGAAAGGCTCAGAGGCTGAGGGCTGTCATCGGTGTGTCATCACCACCACTCACGTGCCTGATGGTTGGTGCTGGCTGTCATCGAGGACTGTGCAGCATCTGAGGTGTTAGCCTCCTTGCCAGCAAGCCAGTTGGCGAGCCATGGTTTCGTGGATGCTGGCGAAAGACAAGACTCTGTGAGCTCCAGTGAAGGAACGGCAGCTCAGAGATGGGGAGAGACGTCATTGTGTGGCTTTGGGGCGGGGCTGCGGTGTCCCTGTGCTGAGATACCCACACATGGCCTGCAGGGACAGGCAGGTGCTAGGGTATTTTGCAGTGAATCATTTAGCTTCCAGATATTTGGGAAATTTTCAGACTTCATTATCTGTCTATAACTGAATGACACTGTCGTCTGAGAGCACACTTTATACAGTCTGAGCCCTTTAACTTGAGTGGGGTCTGTTTGGTGTCTGTCTTGGTACCTGCCCCGTGTGCACGGGGAGTGTTCTGCTGTGAAGAGGGGACTGGCGCTCCAGTCAGACGGGTTTGTCTTGGCGTCGTTTGCATTGTGTTACAGCACTCTGTCGTCAGCTGCAGAAACATTCAGAACTATGTTCTCAATAAATAGGTGCCTTTTTCACTATGAAATGACTGGTGTGCAGTCTCGTCCACCATCTGCTGCATCTGAGTTGAACATGCGTTCTGTGCTCCTGCTTGTCACCTGTGTGTGAGGCGCTCGGTGCATGGTGTGCGTGGCGGGTGCTTGCTTTCCTGGCTAATCCGAGAAAGCGTGCCTCACTCGGGGTGTTCGGACTGTGGCAGGTCCTCAGATAACACCCTTCTGTTGTGACAGCTGCTGTGGGCCTTGGTTCCGTCCCACGTCCTTGCACACACAGTCACAGGCCCTGTGAAGGACTTTCTGTATTTGCACTGGGGTTGGTGGCAGGTGAGATTTGAGTCTGTCAGCTCGCTGCTGGCTTGTCTCATCTGTTTCATTTGCCTCCTTTTTTGTCTTCTTTTGGATTAGTCAAGGATTTTCTTAATGATTTGTCTTACGATTAGCTCTTCTGTTGGCTTATTAACCGTCCCTCTTACTATTCTAGCAGCTGAGGTGGGGTTTGTCATGTGCGTCTTCACGAGTCGCAGTCTCCGCAGAGGTGCTGAGCCGCCTGGCGCGGAGCAGATGCTCCGCAAGTGCGCTTTCTCCCAGCCCTCCGCACCTGCTGGCCTGCGCGTTGTCTGCATTCAAGCCTCGTGTCTGGTGTGTGAGGCTCTGGTTTCCAGTGCTCTCTGCCCTTCGTGGAGGCCCAGGCTTCCATGGGCATCACCTGTCTTCTCTCTGATAAGGAGCAGATAGGAGAACAGGTCTGCTGATGATTGAGTCTGCAGCTTTTCATGTCTGAGACGTCTTTGTTTTGTCTTTGCTGAAGGCTCAGCAGCCTGTGCATCTGTAGTGCAGCCTCTCAGCTCGGGGGCTGTGCCTGACTGTGTTCCGATGAGACTGTGGTCACCCTGTCTTTGTTCCTCAGGATGTGATGTCTTTATCCTTTCGCTGATGGTGAGCAGTTGTGTTTTCAGGGACGGCCATGTGATGGTCTTCATGGTTCTTGTCCTTGGGGTTTTTGGAGCCTCTTGGGCCTGTGGGTTCAATGATGTCATCCAATTATTTCTGTCCCCGTTGCTTCTCTTTCCTCTCCTGGGGGCTCTGGGTACAGAAATGCGGTGGCTGGAAGTCGTCCCACACTGGCCGTTGGCTCTGTCAGTAGTTTATATGTCACATGCCTTCAAGGCCACAGTGTTGCGTCTGCTGTGAAGCCCACCCACCTGTGTGTTCCCCACCTTGTACGCTGTAGTGCTCATCTCTAAAAGTGAGACTGGGCTCTTCTGTCTCCCACACTACTGTTCACAAATGGTGACAAGTGCACCACCCTGACGGGGACCCTGGGCGCTGCCCACTCCTCTGTCCTGCATTTGCCCACCCCGTGCCCATAGAATGGGTGTCATGTTCTCACCTTGTGACCCTGCAACTCCTGCCCGCCTGAGTCTTGTCAGGGAGTCACCGTGTGAGAGCAGGCATGTCAGCGTCTTCTGACCCTGTCCCCCACCCACCCCCAGCCGCCCTGAAACACCTGTGTCTCTTCCAGTGGGCATCCCCACCATCCGGTGGTGCGGGGCGGAGGGGGACTACAACGTCATGGTGATGGAGCTGCTGGGACCAAGCCTGGAGGACCTCTTCAACTTCTGCTCGAGGAAGTTCAGTCTCAAGACCGTCCTGCTGCTGGCCGACCAGATGGTAAGAGCTCACCGTTCCAAAGTGTGTGGCTGGCTCGTGACCCCTCACCTGCCTGTCAGGCACAGGGAGTATGTGGACACTCATTAGCCTCTACCAGGAGGTGGCGATACAGGTTGGGCTTGGAGAGCCACCGTGGGCATGGTGCAGTACATTCCTGTGTGGGACTGCAGAGAGGTTGCTGTCCGTCCCCCAGGAAAGCCCGTGAGGGGAATGCCTGGGCGTGGGGTGTGGTGAGGGTGGCAGGTTAGTGTCCCAGCCGGTTGTGGAGAGCTGCCCTGGCGAGGGCGCAGGTGCGTAGCTCAGCAGGGAGAGCTCCTCCCGGCTGCTGTCAGATGGTCCCCTGCTCTGCCTGCAGATCAGCCGGATCGAGTACATCCACTCAAAGAACTTCATCCACCGAGATGTGAAACCGGACAACTTCCTCATGGGGCTGGGCAAGAAGGGCAACCTGGTCTACATCATAGACTTCGGCCTGGCCAAGAAGTACAGGGATGCCAGGACCCACCAGCATATCCCCTACCGTGAGAACAAAAACCTCACTGGGACGGCGCGGTACGCCTCCATCAACACGCACCTTGGAATCGGTGAGCCCTGGCCTCTGGCCTAGGCTGCCTGGGCACGTCTGGCTCAGCTCAGGGAAAGGCCAGCCTCGGGGGCCAGGAGTCAGCACTTGGGGTGGCAAAGGGTGTTTCAGGAATTGGCCCTAGGACTCTGCAAGGTGTGGTGGTTGGGTCATAGATGGAGGTGCACCCTGGGGCAGGGAAACAGTGGTGCACCCTGGGCAGGGAAACAGTGGTGCACCCTGGGCAGGGAAACAGTGGTGCACTCTGGGCAGGGAAACAGTGGTGCACCCTGGGCAGGGAAACAGTGGTGCACCCTGGGCAGGGAAACAGTGGTGCACCCTGGCAGCGTCCACGTGGGTGTCAGTCATCTGGGTTCCCGGCTTCCGACAGCACTTTCAGGGCAGCTTCTGGGGGAAGGAAAGAATCCAGTGTGTTTTCTGTGGTTTTCAGAGTTCATTTCCACAGTAGTAGTGTGTGCTGGCTGCTGCTGGTGTGGGCCGACCTTGACCCATTTTCCTTTTCTTTCCAGAGCAATCTCGGAGGGACGACCTGGAGTCGCTGGGCTACGTGCTCATGTACTTCAACCTGGGCTCCCTGCCCTGGCAGGGGCTGAAGGCTGCCACCAAGAGGCAGAAGTATGAGCGCATCAGTGAGAAGAAGATGTCCACGCCCATCGAAGTACTGTGCAAAGGCTATCCATGTGAGTGTTCTCAGGGGCCTGTTGAGCGCAAGGCCAGCAGCAAGTCCCCCATTGCCTGTGGGGCTGAGAGGCAAACAAGGCAGGCTTCTAGTCTGGTGGTAGCCAACGATTTGTTAACATCCAGAGCCATAACTCAGGATATTTTCCTTTGCATTGTGGGGCTGCCCCAGGACAGGTGGTGCGGGTGAAGCCAAACTGTTCTGGGATGCTGCATGTTTTTTTGTTGTTGTTTTTAAGGTTTTTCATTGATTTTTTTAGAGATACAGGAAGGGAGAGAGAGAAATATCGGCTACCTCCTGCACGCCCCCTGCCAGGGATCCAGTTCGAAACCTGGGCATGTGCCCTGACCAGACATTGAACCAGCAACCTTTTGGTGCATGGGACAACATTTAACCAACTGAGCCACACCAGCCAGGGCGATGTAGCATTTTCTTAGACTTTCCCCCAGTGCCTCAATTCTTCACAGTGTGGCTGGTGTTTCAGGTCCCCTGTTTCGCGCCGAGGTGTGGAGCATGGGTGGTGAGCAGGGCTGTTGCCTGCCATGCTGGCTCCCAGACAGGGTGCTGCTGGGCAGCTCTGAGGTTCTCTCTATTTTACAGCCGAGTTTGCCACCTACCTGAATTTCTGCCGTTCCCTGCGTTTCGATGACAAGCCTGACTACTCGTACCTGAGGCAGCTCTTCAGGAACCTGTTCCACCGCCAGGGCTTCTCCTATGACTACGTGTTTGACTGGAACATGCTCAAGTTTGTAAGTGGCGTCTCTGCTCACTGACCTCTCATTGTGGATGAGAAACAGCCCATCAGCAAAAGGCTGCCGGCTATTTGGTTCATGTCTGTGTGAGAGGAGAGCTGTCTGCGGTTTGGGTTCCAAAGGCACATTGGCTGCACTGGAAGCTGGGCATTCCTGGCAGGGCTGTGGTCTGGGGTGTCAGCTGCAGGCGAGAGGTTCTGAGAAGCAAAGTGCCTACAGAGGAGGAAGCGACGGCAGACGGCGGTCCACAAGTTAGGGCTGCCCAGAGCCAGAGCTCATTTGAACACTGGAAGATCACTGTATTATCGCTGCCGTCAGCCCTCAGAGTGTTGTGGTGGTGACCTCTGGGGTGCTGTGCTGCCTGCTCCTTATGCAGGAGGAGTAGCTGAGGCCCTGCTGAGTGAGTGCCCTGGCCTCCTGGGGAGGCACTGGGTTTTGAGTCTGACCTTGACCCTGCAATAAGCTAGTCTCTGTTTGTTACTCAGTTTATTTTTGTTACAGATGTTTCTCCTCTTCCCCCCAGACACCTCCTCCCCATGCTGTCCCCCTGCCTCCCTCAGCTTGTCCGTTGATTGCACGTGAGAATGCTGCAGGGAGTGGGGGCAGAGCCTGAGCTTGGATTGTTCCCTGTGAAACAGGCCGCCCATCCAAGTCGGCTCTGGGAGTCCAGTCAGTCAACCTCAGACACAGCGGCCAGAATCCCAGTAGTTCTGGAACTTCCACTTCCTCTCTCGTTAAAAACTTGTTCTCTTTAGCTATGAGCCTAGAGTAGGAATTCCAGGGCGACAAAACCTGGCAGATGAGTAGACTTTCCTTTCAGAGGGTGCAGACAGGAGGTCTGATCCCCATGCAGGGCCGGGGTGGGATGGCTGCAGCCTCCCTGTGGTGGGGTCTCTGGCCTGGCCTGGCCTGGCTTGTGTCCTCCACGGAGTGCCGGGTGCTGGGGGGAGGGGCCTGCAGGGTGGCTCTCTGAGGGTGGCCCTGGTGGTGGGACTGCAGATGCCCAGGGTCTAGGTGTCAGGGTGGACCTCTGTCAGAGCCACCTGAGCCCCCTCAACATTCCTCACGTCAGGGCTCCACAGACCTTTTCTGTAGAGGGCCACATGGTAAATGCTTTTGGCTTTGCCACAGCCACAACTCATTTGTAGCTGGAAAGCTGCAGTGGGCAGTGTGTAGGGGTGTGGGCATGGCTGCTTAGCAAAATATTTGCAGAAATAGATGCATCTGGATTGGCCCAAGGGCCGTAGTTTGCAGACTCACTTGCTTGGCAGCACTGGGAATTGGTGTGTGAGCTTCGGTGTGTGGGTGTCCTGGCTGCACCACATGACATGCAGTCTCATGCAGCAGCTCGTCACTCACCGAGAGCAGACTGGATGCTTGTGCCCCAGTTCACCTTGTGGCCCAGGACACCTGGCCTCTGGCCTCCTCGTGACGTGCACCGATGCTGCATGTGCACTGGGGCCGGGGGTCTGGGCCAAGTGGACCCCTCAGCCAACCAAAGGCTGCTGCTCGTGCCTGCTTCTCAGATTCCCTGACTGTCGTGATCTCAGGATTTCCTGTCCCTGTGTGAATGCTGACAGAGGAGAGGGCCCCCCCAACTGCTGTGCATGTGGGGTGGGAGGAAGTGCTGCAGCCATGAGCAGGGTTTCCTTTGCTGTGCTGGAAAGGCGGGGGAGGCCTGGCTGCTCACTCCCCACTCTCGGGACTGAGATGGGCTGTGCATTGGCTCGGACGGCTTCACAGCAGACCTGTCCCAAATGTCCCTGGTGTTCTCTTGAGTTGCAGGAGACAGCCAAGGGCCTTGGGATGTTTTTTGCCAAGTCCTATTCAGTTCTGGTCTCCTTTTGCCTTCCTAGGGTGCCAGCCGGGCAGCTGATGATGCTGACCGGGAACGCCGGGACCGCGAGGAGCGATTGAGACACTCCCGAAATCCAGCCACCCGAGGGCTCCCTTCCACAGCCTCAGGCCGGCTGCGGGGAACACAAGAAGTGGCTGCCCCTGCCCCCCTCACCCCTACCTCACACACTGGTGAGTGGTTCTGGAGTCACTAGCTCGAGCCACATTGCCACCACCCCCCGTAGGCAGTGGGGTTCTCTTTTCGTGTGACCTCTGGTGGAGCCAGCTCTGGGGATGCCTGTGTGTCCTCTTTGACTCCTGAGGGTGGACAGGCCAGGGAGCAGCTTGGGGCGGTGCCTTCAGGAATGTTCGTCTCAGGGTTCTCATTCTTTTCATGTCACGTGTTCCCCCACCAGCCTCTCCATGCTTTCTCCTTCCCCATCCCTGACAGCATCAAAGGCAAAGCCCTGGGTAGCCCTCCCATGGGCTCTGGGAAAGCTGTTGCGATGTGAGAGGCATAGCTTTGGCCCAGGCCACCTGCCTGTGTCTGCCCTGACGGTCCAGTGGGTGGCAGTGTGGTGCAGGCCACCATGGGCCTGCTGTGCTGCGTGCTGAGGACAGCCCTGCGTGGGGCGTTGGGAGGCCTCATTCCCGCCTTTCTCCTCCAGCTAACACCTCTCCTCGGCCCGTGTCCGGCATGGAAAGAGAGCGGAAAGTGAGTATGCGGCTGCACCGCGGCGCCCCTGCCAACATCTCCTCGTCAGATCTCACAGGCCGACAAGATGCCTCCCGCATGTCAACCTCACAGGTACATGTGCCTGGATCGTGGAGGGCGGGACACTGGCCTCGGGCTTTTCTGTGTTTGGACTGGTCTCAAAGGCTCCAGGCCCAGTGGGGCGAGGGTTTTGAAGGGTTTGCACTGACAAGGGATACTGCCCCCTGGCTGCAATGCCCCCCTTTGGTTGAGAACCTCTGAGACCAGCTGTGTGGGCACAGAGCTTATCCCCTGCCGTGCTGGGACAGGTAACAGGGCCTTTTCTTTTATGCCTGGGCACTGGTGTGTCTCATAGGCACACCCAGCCTTGGGCTCTTTCCACATCCTCGTTGGCCAGGCAGTCCCCTGTCCCCTGGCTGGGGGAGGGGCTGCTGGCCCCCATGGGGTGGGGTGGACGAGGCCTGTTGGGGCCTAGAACCTGGTGGTGTGCTGTGGGCAAGGCTTTTCATCTTGACGTCCCTGTGCGTTTGTCCTCTGGGGCCCGACGCACACCTTGTCCACCGTGTCCCTCTTGTGCTCCCGTTGCTGCTGCTCTGTCTTGCAAGGTCCTCTCTCAACATGACAGCTCTCGTCCTGGTCGGTTTGGCTCAGCAGTTAGAGCGTCGGCCCTCAGATCGAAGGGTCGTGGGTTCGATTCCCAGTCAAGGGCATAAATCTGGGTTGCAGGTTTGATCTCTGGCCCTGGTCGGGGTTATGCGGGAGGCAGCCAATTGATGTGTGTCTCTAACATCGGGTTTCTCTCTGTCTTCCCCACTCCCTTCCTCCCACTCTTATCTAAAAATCAATGGAAAAATATCCTTGGGTGAGGACTAACAAAAAAGACAAACAGCTCTTCTTCCTTAAGTGCTCCCAGGGTCCACTTCCATGGAGGGTGGTCAAGGGCTGGGGCCCACGGCCGGCCTGCTACATGCTGGGTGAGGCTTGTTGGTGAATAGGGTGGGGTGGGTGCAGTGGTCAGAGCTCCGGGTCTGAGGGCTCCTGAACCCTCTAGTCTCCTGGCAGAGGAGCAAGCATGCCGGCAGAGACCATGTTCCTGCCCGCTGTCTTTCCCAGCACTTGTCACTGGTGACCCTGCTAGATGTGGGCTCCATGCCATACGTTGTCCCAGAGGGACTGAGGCTGCAGCAGTTTGAATGGGGCTCCAGGGGTCTGGCTGGGGTGATCAGATCGGATCTCTCATGGCTCTGGCCCCACCTGTCCTGCCCCACAGAACGCAGCAGGGCTTCCGGGACTTCTTCCCACACACTCTGGAACTCTAGAACCGCTGAATCAGCAGCTGGGAGCAGGTCCTGGGAGCTGTCCACCCCCACCTGCACGTAGGGTGGCTCTGTGGCCTGGACACCTCAGGCAGGGACACCCAGGGGCTCTGTCTGGACTTGGTGTCCGCGTGTCTGGGACCCAACCAGCAAAGATAAAGGAAGGAGCAGGCCTGACTTTTTTAAGAAAAGAAAGTGTCTGGTGGGTTTGGGGTTGTTGAGGAAATGGAGGAGGCGGTGGTCCTGCGGGTGCCAGGCATCTACAGGAGCGAGTCCAGCTCAGTGCGCTGGCCCCCAGCGCCTCCCGCACACAGCACCAGGGCCGCTCCGGAAGTCCCAGCCGGCCAAGGCGAGGCTGTGACTCGGGTTTTCTGTGCTCTTGCTCTCTGCTCTCCGTCTGAAGGGGTAGCATGTAGGGGAGTTTCCAAGAGATTTGATTTGGGGGTGTTTTCCCTCCAAAAGCAGCATCTCGGCTTTCGTCACTGGTAACTCTAGAGATTTTCTCAGGCTCTTCACAGAGGACACGGCCCCTGGGGAAGGTGTGTTCTGATGAACTGCAGCCGGCTGTCCGTGGGCTGTCCTGGTCACCATGGGTGCGCTTCTTTAGGAGACTCTGAAAGGCCCCGCTGTCCAAGGGCACGATCAATGTCCCTGTGGGACAGCACAAGGCTCCTTCGGAGACTCCAGGTGGGGCTACTCCCAGCGTCTGCCCTAGTGGTTTTGGGCGAGTGGAGTCCCTCCAGCATCCATGACTCTGTAGCCTCCAGTCACACTTGTTCCCCAAAGAAAGTGCAGTGAAGAAGTAGCCACATGTGTTTGCCTGTTCCCATGGCAGCATCTGCTCTGTGCCCTCGAGGAGGCACTCCAGGGCCCACACACCTGGCCCAGTGAGGTGGTTCGGCTTCAGCAGAAAAGGGCTCAGATCTGCCGCCCACCTACCTGTGGAAGGACCTGCTGGCGCTCCAGCTGGGTGTGGGGTGTCAGCACCTGTCCTCTGTCCTGACCCCATGGCCATCCTGCGCTCACACCCGGCAGGGGAGTGGCTGCTCCTCCTCACACCCGCTTCCTTTTCAAGGGCAGCTGGTGCTAGGCCAGCCCCAGAGACCCAGCCCCTGCATCCCAACCCTGGAGTGCAAGTCTGGACAGGCCTGTGTGGGTGCTCTTGGTCCAGCAGTGCTGATGAGATAGTGCTGGCTCCCAGGCCATTTTCTCTTTGCATTAGTTTTAGCCCGTGTCCTGTCACCCACATAAGTCCTCACCCTCTCCCTGTGTCAGTGAGGAGACATGTCCAGTCCGAGTCTCACGGGGAGGCGCCGTCCTCTCCCCCTGCCCAAGCACAGGCTGCTCTGAGCAGTGAACGAGGCCTGGGGAGCTGTCTGCATCAGCTCTCTGCCTGGCCCTTGTCGGCCAGGGGGCGGGGAGGGCAGATCATCCTAGAGGAGCAGCTGTGGCTGCTTTTGTTTGGGGGCGACTTGCAGAAGGTGAGGCTGAGCTCCTGGGCGGTCCTTGGGGTCCCTTCTGAGGCACCCAGGCCAGCGCTGGTGGACCTGGTGGAAGGAGGCGAGGACGCGCTTCTGGGAGCAGGAAGCCACGTGCTGGGGGCCAGAGGCACTCTCACCGACAGCTGTCTTTCCCCTCAGAATAGCGCCCCCTTCGAGCACCACGGCAAGTAGCTGCACGTCTCCCGCGGAGGCAGCGCCGGTGAGTGTGCTCCTGCCGGTCTCCAGACAGCGGGCCGGGCGGGGCGGGGCTGGCTTGCCAGGTGCTGTGGAGCGAGGTCCCTCTGCCAGCTCTTTCCCTCGTGTGGACTCAGGGCATCTGCAGTCAGATGCCCAGCCTGGGGGTGCCGAGCAGGCCGCAGAGAGTCCAGAACAAGATGACCCCAGGACCTGCCCTCAGTGTGACTCGGAGCCTGTGTGAGGAGCGGGACCCCCAGGCTCTGCTCCTGCACTCGGTCCCCCGGGTTGGTCGTTCGGGTCCTGTGTCTGTTGCGCTCAGCTGAGTGGCCGCGCTTGGTGGGGCCTCTTTCGCTCTTGCTGCATGAGACTCCTGTGGTCTCTGCGGTCCTGGCTTTGTCATCTCTCTTCCTTTCGCGTTTATCTCTGTCTTCCTTGTTTTGTTTTTCTTTTTGAACTTGGTCTCTGCCCAACATCTTGTCCCTGCTGTCGTGTGTGCTGATCCATCGGCCAGCCACCTGCTCCCCTGCCAATGTGCATGGCTGGGCACCCGGCTGTCCTTCCCTCTCTGGGCCACACTGGGCAGCTCCTGCCCACCGCCGCTGAGGGCTGACAGCTGTCTGGCTCAGGGTCACGTGGAGTCTGTTGGGGCTTGAACACAGTGGTGCTCTGGGAACCATCTTGATGGGAACTGCTTGTTATCTCTCCCTCGAAGGGTGGGGATCCCAGTGCCCACGGGGCCTGGCCCCTATATTCAAAACACTAGGTTGTTTGGGTGGGTGAGGTGCTGGGAGCAAGTTTCTCTTTCCTGCTTGGACTCTGGTCCTGTTGTTGATGAGCTTCTGGGCTCCACCTGCATGCTCCTCCTCCCTCTTCCTGTCACTTGTTCTGCTGAGCACGTCCTGGCCGCAGAGGGCGCTCCTGGAGCGGCTGGGGGCGTGGGCGTCCAGAGTGGGCTAGGTGGCATCTGTCCCCTCCTCCCAGGGCACCTCACTGACAGGCACAGCCCTCCGGCTACACGCTGACCTTGTCCTGTGCTTTGGCTCCGACAGATTCCCGGTCGGGTGGCTTCCAGTGGTCTTCAGTCTGTCGTGCACCGATGAGAACTCTCCTTTTTGCTGTGAAGGGCAGACAATGAATGCATGGCTGATCTACTCTGTTACATGGCTTTACTAGTGACGCTCCCCGGTCTAGGACACCGGGTGCTCTCCAGGCCACCCACCCAGCAACGCCTGTGGGGAAACAAGACAGACTAAACCGGACAGACTCCAAGTGCTGCCGCCGGGGCTCCCCTGAGGCCCGTGCGAACTCGCCGTCACGGGGCTGGGACGGAGCGCCGAGAGCAGGACCAGACTCCCGTCCGGAGCCTTTCGCCCCGCCCGGTGGCTCCGCGCTCCCTGATGAGTCTGCTGTGACACCATCTTCTACTTGGTTCTGACAGTTTTGTATCATTTTGCTAAAAATTACTGGCTTAAATCTGTGTAAAGAAATCTTTTTATTGTTTTTTTCTTGTCTGTTTCCGCGGTCTTAAAAAAGATGTTGACCTCAAAATGTCCCGACTCAGATGCCGGCGTGGAGTTTCTGTGTAGACTGAGGCAGGCTCGGGGCCTGTGCCGCCAGCGATGTTTCCTGCTTCTGTTTGGCATAGTCCACTGTGGAGAGGGGTGTTCTCCCAGAAATTGTCACGTGTACACGTGTGTAACGTGTGTCTGTGCGTGTGTTGTGTGCTGTATCCTGTGACCTCACCTGGTTTTGGCCGTCACTCCCCACCGTAAACTGAGCCGCCAGGACTCGAGTCGTCAGAGCCGACAGAGTTCACCCACGAGCAGGGGCCTCGTGTTGCTTCAGGCGGAGCTGAGCGCTGATGCACCTTCCCAGACGCTGCGACGGAGGCAGGTGCCTGGGACTCGGAGCGGAGGCTGCGCCGGGCCCTCCCGGGCTGTGTGCGGTGACTTTGCTGGTAGTTGTTGCCTCAATGCCTTTGGATTTGGGGTATTTTCTAAACAGACTGTAAATAATAGTGGTGCAGAGTGGCCCTTAACATGTGCGAGCATCTGTGCGCTCAGACCAAGCACGGGGTGTCCGCCCAGGATGCGGGTTGCCCAGAAAAGGGCTGGCCCCAGGGAATCCCCTCAGAAGTGCCAAGAATCAGGTGACTCGTGACCTGAAGGGCCAGGAGGGTGTAGTATGCTTTCACGAGCGTCTCGGGGACACGGTGAGCCCACAGAGGTCTCACCAGAAAGACCCTCAGGGTGCTGGGCTCCCCGTGGTCGTCTCCTCCTGAGGCCCCAGGCGGTGGCGCCAGGAGCCCGTCTGGGGACGAGGTGCGATGCGGACATCCGTAGGTACTTCCCTTCTCCCTGTCACCCACTGCAGAGGTGCTTGGAACGGGAGCTCGTAGGAAGCTCTTAGCCCGAAAGTGTTCAGGGCTGTGTCCCTTCTGCCCCGAAGTCCTGCAGCACAGGGGTGCTGGTCCTGGGACGGCCAGACGCGGGTGCGCTGGCTACCTGCACGCGTTTGGGGTCAGGGCAGGTGGGGGCTTCCCTCCGGAGGTGAGGGCTGCGGCACGAGCTGTGGATAGCCGCGCCCGTAGCACCTGCCGAGCCGCAGTGGCAGTCTGCAGCCGTGTTGGTGGTGTCTGACCTGTGCATCTGTGTGACCACTGTATTTGTGTACTTACCCACCATGTAAATAATAAATATATGACAACATCTACCTTTCTTCCCTGCCCCAAGCATGTGGTCTTTATTTCATCAGCTTGAGAGTTCTCGGTGTGCGGGTGCCACGTGAAGACCCTGAGCCCAGGCTGGCGTCTGCCCTTTCCGCCTGTTGGAGCAGGCAGCCGGGCCTGGGGTGGGCTGCTGCCCTTGGCATCCGGCCCGGGTCCCCCCACCAAGCCTTCCAGATGGGCTGACAGTCTCAGGGTCAATTAGCAGTGTCCCAGAGCACGACTCCAGCAGGTTGCCAGTCCTCTCGTGGGATTAGGCCCTTTGGGCAAAGGTGTGGAGACAGGAAGGGACACCTGCTCCTGGCCATCGGGATGAGGCAGCTCGGGGAGCTAGAGCGGAGATGTCTATGGAGGGCACTCAGTCCCCAGTCAGCAAGCTGAGGTGACTCACTGCTGAGCTCCTGTCAGGAGAGAGGGGGGGAGGTGTGCACAGCCCAGAGGGCAGACTGCCCACTCCACCTCTTCTCCCCCCACCTCCAATTCAGGTAGGCAGCCGCTGAGACCACAGCCTCTGGGCTACGGTTGGGGCGCTGGCCCTGTGAGACCTGCCAAGTGGGGGGCTAGCCTCTCAGCCTTGCCCAGAGGCCCAGTCTGGCAGACACAGGGCCTTGACCCCTGCCTGCTGGCCAAGGGGACAGACGTCCCAGGAAGGGTGCTGGGCAGGCCCCAGAGCTGCGGGACTGCAGGCGGTGCCTGGCTTTCTGCAGAGCTCCAGGGGCGGTGTCTCGGTGACCAAGCCCAGAAGTGAGCCCGCGCTTGCTTTTCGTTGCAGAGGAGCAGGGATGTGGCGTCTCTCCGGCTGCACTCGGCCCGCCAGGGCACCCGCTGCCGTCCCCAGCGTCCCCAGCGTCCCCAGCGCCCGCGACGCACCACCTGCTGAGGCGGCCCCAGCGGCCTCTGATCGGGTTCCCAGCCACGCAGGCTCCGCTGGCCATGAGGGCAGGTGGGTGTGAGGTACCTGGGCCAGGCCAGCGGGGCTGGAGGAGGAGGATGGGGCAGATACCAGCCCTGGGCGCTGGCCACCTAGGGCCCATCAGCTGACCCACAGGTTAATAAAGGAAGGCAGGAAGATCATTTTCTTTAAAGACACAGCGCCAGGGGCCAGCAGGGCCCTCCCCAGCAGCACTTAGCTGACAGGCCCACAGGACCAGACCCACCGTGTCGTGGAGCAGGTGGGATTGGGATGAGCCGTAGACCACACCCCACCTTAACCCAGACTCCGCGCCTACACGCAGGTTTATTCCAGAGCTTCCAGAGGTGAGGAAGGGAGCTTTGTGACCTAGACACTCGGGGTGAGTGGGCACCAGGGCGGACAGGGGCCTGGTGGGCGCAGGCGGGCACCCTCTGACGGAAACCTCCAGAGCGTGGGTGTCTAGATCCCTGAGCCCCGCAGTGGGCCCCGGGCTGTTCTGGGGTCGGCGGGCTGGACGCCTGGTGCAGACGGCTTGTAACCTCGAGCTTGGCTTCACCACAGATCTGCTCTGGAATGACGTGGCTCCCACCTGCCACCTCCCCCGAAAGCACTGATCAGGCCATGGTCCGCTGCGGGGGGCCGCTGGCCCCGCCTGAGCTAGTCTGTCTGTGAAATAAATACGAGCCTTGACAGCCTCCGTCCGGTTCCCTGCACCCTGCACCCTGCCGCTCCTCTCAGACACTTGTTTCCGGGGTGTGAGCGACCTCCCCTTTGCCCTCAGGCTCCGCCTTCAGGAAGTGCTCCACCTCCCCGGAGCCCACCCCGTCCCTGGCGTCCGAAGGGGGCTTGCGGCACTCTTCTTCCTTGGTGGCCCCCGCAGGCCCCTTCCCGATGCAGAAGAAGTTGCCCAGCAGCAGCACCAGGGAGGCGGCCAGCACTTCGGTCCCCGCCAGGATGAACACGTACTGGTAGACTTGCGTGGCGTCCAGGAGTCTGCCTGCAGAGGGGAGAGCGTCCGCTTGGCCCAGGCTCCCACTGAATCTCCCTGGTGTCCCACAGTGGACCAGGAGGGTCCCCCATTCCCTTCTGACACCTGATGGCTGTGCGTTGGAGGACGTGGTGGCCGGGCCAGTCCCGGTGGGGGGTAGGGACGCCTCCACTAAGAGCCATCCCACAATGAGTCCCCTTCCCTGGGATGGGCACATGCTGTAAGTGGGGGATCTGGCCGGGGCTCCCCACCCTCCTGCCTGCAGCCTCACCTCCGGACGGGGGCCCGATGAGCACGGCGATGGCCTCCAGCAGCAGCACAAGGCCAATGGCGCTGGAGAACTTGTGGGTGCCCACGATGGCCATGAGCACCTCGAACTGCAGGGCCCCCACCATGCCGTAGGAGATGCCGAAGAAGATGCAGAAGACCACCAGGCCGCCGTAGTCGCTGGCCGTGGAGCCAGTGAGGTCGGTGAATCCATTGAAGAACATGGCGAAGCTGAAGAGGTAGACGGAGTAGGGCCGCACCTTGGGGAGCCCCGTGACAAAGCCGGCGGCAGGCCGGGCGAAAATGTCCACGAAGCCCAGCACAGTCAGCAGGAAGGCGGCCCGCGTGTCCGGCACGCCCAGGTCCTTGGCGTAGCTCACCACAAACACAGGCGGCACAAAGAGCCCCAGCACCATGATGGAGGCAGCCGCCGCGTAGATGACAAAGCCACGGTCCCTGAAGACACTCAGGTCCAACAGCCTCCTGGCCGGCCTCTGGGGCCCGGGCCCCGCACCCGCGAGGGAGGCCTCCAGGGGCCTCATGAGCGCGGCACACACGCAGCAGTTGAGCAGCAGGCCACCCAGGATGAGGAAGCCGCCCCGCCAGCCGTAGTGGTCCTGCAGCAGCTGCCCCAGCGGGGACAGTGCGCAGAGGAACACGGGGCTGCCTGCAGCCGCCAGCCCGTTGGCCATGGGCCGCCGCTTGTCAAAGTAACGGTTGAGCATGATGAGTGAGGGCTGGAAGTTGAGCGCCAAACCCAAGCCTGGAAGGGGGCGGGTGGTTGAGGTGCTGGCCTCCCCCCTTGGCCCCACCCCCTTTATCCCTGGCATAGGCTCCTGCCTAAATGGTTCTTCCTGGGGGTCTGATCGGTATTGACATGAGACCCAGAGTTTGTACAGAGCCCGTCACCGACAGACACGCCTGGGGACACAGCAGGGACAGGTTGGTGCCCAGGGGTGGGGATCACAGGGGACTTCCGTTCATGGATCCGGGCTGTCGCCAGCTGGCCACCGAGGAGCAGGCGGGCCCACCACGCCCTGTCCCACCCCACTGGCCAGCCCCACTCACCAGTAAGGACCCCGGTGGTGAGGTACAGCTGTATGATGCTTCTGCAGAAGGATGCGGCCACCATGCCCAGGGACGCCAGGAGGCCGCCCACCAGCATGACTGGCCGGCAGCCAAAGCGATTCACACACACACTGCAGAGCGGGCCTGGGGGGACAGCGGCTGAGTGGCGAGCCCACCCCTCCCCATCGCCCCCAGCTGAGCGGACGCACCAGAAGCACCGGCGGCCCAGAGGACAGTCACACTGGGGCGCCTTCCTTAGCAACCCATAGTTCACATGACAGAGGTCCCTGTCTTAGTGGTCACCTTGCTGGTGGTCTGCAGCACTGAGAAGGGACCATCTGTAAGGAAGGGCCTGACAGTGTGCTCTGGGACAGGCCCAGCTGGCCCCACCCAGGGAGAGAGGCCCTCACCTGTCCCGTACAGCATCGCCAGCAGGATAGAGGAAATCCAGGCCGTGTCGCTGTAGCCGATGCCAAACTCCCGCATGAGCTCCTTGAAGAAGACGCTGACCGCCTTGGGGAAGGCGTAGGAGAAGCCTGTGATGACAAAGCAGCCCAGGAGGATGGCCCAGCCCCAGCCCCCGTCAGGGGCCTTGACACCAACTGGGCCGTCATCCACTGCGGCCCCTCCCATGGCTAGGAGGGCTGGTTCTGGTGTCCCTGAGAAAGAGAAAACCAGGCTCACGGCTCAGCAGTGTGAGGCCTCAGCCCCCGCAGCTCAGCTCTGGGCAGCTCCCTAACAGCCCTGCCTCTGACCCTCACCTTGTGCTTGGACTCCGGCCCACCCCCTCCACCAGGCGCCTCCTCCACAACTGGCTGTGAAGGGCTGGGCTTTTCCGGGCTCAGCCGGGTCTCGGGTCAACTCCTGGAAGCAGCCCCCACTACAGCTGAGGGTGTGAAGCAGGCCCCCAGCAGGGGACCGGGGGCCGATCTGGGGGTGTTGTCCCTTGAGACTTAAATCTAGATGTGGCCAGGGGAATGGGGCTGTCCCATGCTGTCCGCTGTGATCGAACTGCACCCTGAGAGTCTGAAGACGGAGGGAAGGCTCACCCAGGGCCGCGGGTGTGCTGGAGGTGGGGACTGAGTACCACTGAGGGGGCAGACAGGCCCGTGCCCTCTGCCCACACAGAGGACCCCACCGCGTCACCCCACGCACTCCAGTTCCTCCACCCGTCACTGTTCGGGCCACATCTCTTCTGGGGAGAGGCGAAGGGTCCCCGTGGCATTCAAGGAAGAGCCCCATTGCCTGTCTGCCCCTGAATCAAACCTCTGGAGAGGGCAGGGCGGGCCGGGCCCCCTGGAGAAAACCATGCCAGCCCCCAGGCTGCCAAAGCCAGGAAGGAGCAGCTGCACCTCGGCCTGCCCCAGACCCTGCAGCAGCCCAGAGCTGGTTTTCCTTACTCCCCAGGAACGTGGCTTGTTGGAGGCCCAGGAACTTGGACCCTGGGGCCAGACGTCCAGCCGGAGGCCTCTCCCCTTCCGTCTTCATCCCCCGTCCCTCCACCCAATCCTGGCACCGAAAACTCTAACCCCAGATCAGCCTTGTGGCCTTGTCCCCCCACCTCACTGGACAGAAGCTGTTCCAAGGAGGGCAGTCCCAGGCCCGGCTTGTTCAGTGCCGTCGCCTGCTGCCGGCTGCAGCTCGGTCTGTTCCCCGGCCGGGTGCTCTCTGGGGAAACATGATGTGTAGCGTTTGTCCTGCGGCATAAATACACCTGCTCTGAGGCCCAACAACTTCTGTCGTCCCCTTCCCATCGGCCTGTCCACCTGCCCCTCGGCTTTCATAGTCTGTCCTGGCTCTACCCCTGCCCCTTTTCCTCAGTGCCCCTTGACCCAGCACAGCCCCCTGGGTGGCCCACTTCTGCATCGGAGGCACACAGGGGACCCGGGAGGACTCGCGAGAGGATGAGGGCCTCTGCCTCTGAGCACAGGTTCGGTGTGGAGGGCGAAGGAATGTGGACACGAGAACCCCACTTCGCCCAGCATCCTGGCCACAGGTTCTGTGCCTTCCGAGCACCCTGACTTAAAGGTCTGGGGGTCTGATTTTGTGGGGGTGTTTTTCAAGGACTTCCTATGTGATTCTAAGTGGTAGCTGCTGCCCATGGAACCTACTGCTTGGTGCCCCCAGGGGCCAGCACAGTGCTGACAAGACAGATGCAGCCCACTGGAGCAGAGCGGCCACCCCCGCACCCCCGCTGGGTCAGAGGTCCCCCTTCAGAGCCTGCACTGTTCACAGCCAGGCCAGGGCCAAAGGTGCCAATTCTGTGAAACCCAGGGGAGGCTCCTGGACTTCCGTGAACAACACCGGGGGTGTTGCTGAAGCTGAACGTGGGCGGCGCTGGGGACAGCTGAAAGGTACACAGGGGCACCCCAACCAAGGGCACCTCTCATTCTCCTGCACACTCACCCACACACCTGTGACCTGGCACTTCTGCATCAGAGGCCCACGGGGACCCCTGCAGCCCCAGAGGTTCTTCAGACGCTGCTTTCTCCCAGCTAACCCCCAGGCTGCAGGGCCAGCCGCCCTGAAATGGCCCCTGGCCCATTCCCACCCAGCTGGTCCTCAACGTGAGGTTTCTCGGGGAAGTTTTGGGTTGCACGTGGGGAAATGGTGGGAGAGTAGAAAGGGGGAGGGTCTAGGTTTGGGACAAAGGGATTCTGCCCAACAGGGCTATGTGAACGCATAGGACTATGTGGACGACGCGTGAAAGGGGCCGAGATCTCCAAGAGCAAAACGGTCATCAACCCAGCCTGCCTTGGGGGGAGGGAGGAGGGCCTTCCCCGGGCACAGGCTGGCTGATGTTCCACGGCCAACCTACCACGACCCAGTCTGGACCCGGGATGGGAGGAGTGCCCGCCTCGGGGGGCTGTCGGGGACCCTCACTTCGCTGCACAGGAAGGCAGCACCAGCACACAATGGGGTGCACATTGCTGGGCTGGCCTTTTGTGACATCTACCCTCCCAAGGAAGCGTGCAAACCATGTCCCCAGCCCAGAAGGAACCCTCCTCCCGGGACCTAGAAAGCTCATCTCCCAGGTGAGGTTCCTGTGCCTGCTGGGCCAGGCCGGGCTCCAGGGGCTCTTGCCTCCAGCTCTGCGAGGGTCCCACACCCTAGCCAGCTGGAAGCTGAGCAGAGAAAGGCTGGAGGAGTGTGCACAGGGGTCCCCTGACAGATGACACATCTGAGGGTCCACTGTGCCCTCCAAGGCTGGCTCCTGCAAGCTGCTCCTCCGGACGGCTGGCTGTCTGGGCGAAAGAGTCCCACCCCTGAGCTACCCCCAACTCGTTCTGGGCCAGGACTGGGCCATGAAGCCCTCAGCGCCTGGCCTCCTGCCCGGTCAGGCTTCCACCTTCTCCAGCATCACCCCCCTCCCAGTGCCCCCTCCCTGCCTAGACTCACCCTGGCTTTGAATTGCATCTTGGTGTGAACGGTGCCACACCCTCTCCACAGGCCCACTGCCATCCCCAGTGCACCCTGGCGTGCTCCCCTTGGGCCCACTCTGTACTGCAGACCCCTCACCTGCCGCGGGTCCTGTGTCTGGCCCATCACCCCCAGGGCAGGCCATGTCCCCTAGGTTCAGTGCAGTGGCTCCGGCCCTAAAGCCTACAGCCTGCCTCAGTGCTCATTAGATGTGCCTACTAGGGAGGCTGGCCAGTTATCTGACCCGACTTCCAGTCCCTGGAGACCAGCTCCAGCCTGCAGGTGGGAAAGGGGCACCGGCCTTCCTTCCTGGACGCCTGGGAAACACCAGAGCACAAGGAAGCAGTCCCAAGGCCCCTCCCTGAAGCCAGTGCAGGTGGCGGGTAGGCCAGAGGCTCCTGTGCCCTCTGGAGGAGGGGAGGGCTCCTCTCTCTGTTATGCAAACAAGTAACCAGCAGATCTGGACGCTCACCTGCCTGGTGCTCAAGAAGCCTGCCCCCTCCCAGGCTGGGCACAGGACCCCAGATGCCCACCCCGACCTGTGTGCCAAGCTGTGACTGGAGGGAGGTGCCTGGGCTTTTCCCAGGGAAGGTGGACACTCAGGCAAGGATTTGCCCCCAGAAGAATGCAGGCCTGCTAAGCCTGGCCTGGGCCCTCCACCTGCCCTGCTGACCACGCAGCCCCCACGGTGCCCCTGCAAGCTCCAGGGTGGGCTCACATCTTCTGGCAAGGCTGGTGGGGGCAGCTGTAGGGAGGGAGGTGGCTGGGGAGAGGAAGGGGGGACCCTGAGCTCCACACATGCCCCCCCCCCCCCGCAGCCTCAGCGCTGGAGCGGGCCTGGTGAGCAAATGGGGGTCGGGTCCCCTCGGGACAGAGATGAGGGGGAGGCGTGGGAAAGGAGGATGCTCCGCCGCCCCGCTTGCCGGGCCGAGGGACGTGGGGAACGTGACTACGCGCCCAGGGAGGAACCGCCGCCGTATTGCCTGGAGTACGCGCCCTCCCACCGCTACCGCTACCGCTACCGTATTAGCCTGCGCGCACAACCACGTGCCGGACCTCGGGTCGGGGAGCCCGGGCAACACGGAATCCCGGCTCCCTGGGGGCGGGACGGGCTTCATTTCCCTCCGAAGGGACAGCCCACAGCCGGGTCTCTAACGGCCCATTTCACAGATGGGGACCAAGGCAAGCTGTGAGGAGACCCAGACCCTGTCCTGCCCCGCCCCGCTCTCTCAGCTGCTCCTCCAAACAGAGGCATCCAGCTGGAGTCCGTGCCCAGGTTGTCTCTTGCTGTCAGACCTTGCCCGAGGTCGCATGGGGTCATTACAGAGCCCGCCCTGTGACCAGGCCTCCCAACGCCAACCCGAGGCTCTGTCCACACCACAGATCGCTGGGCAGGAAGGCCCACACCCACCTGGACACTGCCACCAGTGTCTTCAGAGCCTCCGTGGGGCAGACCTCCCACCACGGGAGCAAGGCCTTAACCCCATCTGCCCCAGGGCCTCCCTCCCGGACACAGTCCCTCCTTGGACCCACCTGGCCCCAGCAGACCCTTGGGCCTTGGCAGGGAGGCAGGGGACCCTGGAACCCATCCACCCAGCATCCACCCCTGCTCTTGGCTTTGGACAAGCCCCACAGACCTGGGTTGCGTGGGGGAGCATCCAGCTGCCCTCTGATGGCCCTCAGACCACCGGCTTGGCCGTGGTCTTCACACAGCGTGATCCTGTCTGCCCAGGCACCTCTGGAGTGTGGCTCAGTGCCCTCTGGGACAGAGAAGCCCTTTCGCCCTCTCTCCTGCCCCTTTGTCCTTCCCCCGACTGCAGGCACCCCCAGTGGCCCAACTAACTACTCTCAGTCCCCTCACATGCCTGCCGACCACTGGCCTGTCCACCATCTAGTAGGTGCATTATCAACCCATTTTTTTATCAAAGTAAACTGAGGCTCAACCTGGTTTTCCCTTGGGCTAGAGGCTGGGAGGAGGTAGGCAAACAGCCTCCCAGTCTAGGCAGGAAGCCAGGGGCATCCCAGGGGCTGTGGTTGAGGCTAGTTAGGGTGAGGTGAGAAGGGAAAGGAGAGAATGGTGAAGGCTGCCTGCAGGCAACCCTCACCCTGGGGTTCCCCACTCCTTCGGAAGGGGACCCCACCAAATACAGCCGCTCTTGGTCCACCGAGTCATTTATACCCTGGACTGGGCTGGTCCTCAGGGCGAAGCCACCTCCTGCCCAGAGCCCAGCCCCCGAGGGCCCCGACGTAGTGGTGCCTCCGCAGGGCAGGGGAAAGCGATAGCGGGCACTTGGGGCCTGCCCGAGGGGGCGGTGCCGGCTCTCCGGGACCCCTGGTGTGGGGCGCCCGGGGTGGGGTGGGGTGGGAGGCTCATCTGTGCCTGGGAGCCCGGACCTGGAGGGGTAGGAGTGAGGGGGACGAAAGCGCAAACTCAGCGCCCCGGCGGCTCGGAGGGTCCCGGGTCCTGGCCCCCGGCCCGCGGCCCCGCCCCGCGCGGAGCATCTGGTCCTAGCCTACCTGCGGCCACTCGCTAGCCCGCTTCTGCCCGCCTGGCTGCTTGGCCCGCTCTGGGGGCTACTTGGTGCTTTGGCCGCTCGCGCCGCACGTCCCCGCGCACGTCACTGCCGCTGGCGCCGCCCCTGCTGCCCCGCCCGGACCCCGCGCAGCCACGGGAGGGGCGCCCGGTGTGCTCCTGGACGGTGCTCTCACCGGGCTCAGGGTCCCAATCGCAGACCCCAGCCGGGAGACGTGGCTTCTGCAGGTCCAGTCCTGCGCCCTCCGAGCCCTCGGTCCCGCCGCGTGGCGCTCAGCTGCCTGGTGCCCCACTCGGTGCCCCACTCGGTGCCCCACTCGGTGCCCCACTCGGTGCGCTCTGGTTTCCAAGCTTGGCCCGGTGCCAAGACCTCCAGGCAGTGATCCCACTCACCCCCCATGCCCAGGGCGATACACATCCTTGTTCGGAGGTGTCCGCGAACCCCATGGGGTTCCCACCTCTGGCCTCCAGTCTCAGCTCTGGGGCCCACTGGCTCCCCTCCGCAGGCAACCCTGGGATCTGTGCCCCCATCAAAACCTGCACTTCCTCGGGGGCTGGGGCTGGGGCGCGGGTGCCCTGCGTTGCCTGGGTGATCTTGGGCAAGGCCCGCACCCCCTCTGAACTTCCGTTTCCCCGGTGTGGCTTCGCCCCTGCCCATAACGCCGCTGCCCCACCCTTCGCGCACCCAGAACCCGGAATGTGGGGGGAGGTGGGAGATTGCCGGCCCCAAGGCGGCTCCGCAACCCCCACCCCACAGACACTCGCCCGTGAGGGAGGGATGATCCCGCTGGTAGGAGGCAAGGTGCTAAACCCCACATTACTCCTCTGCACCTGGAAAGAGCTAAAGTTTGAGGCGGTGCCAGGGAATGGGGTGGGGGTGGGGCCGGAGCTGGGACCTTAGGACCGCTTTCCGCCTAACCAACTTGGAATGACACCCGCCTTCCGGAGGCCAAGACACTGGTAATTCTGGGATTTGTCACAGATCCCAGCTGGTCCAGAATGGAGGGGTGGGGAGCAGAGTGAGCATCAGTGGTAGATGACCCCTCCAGGGGCCTGTGGGTGGCCCACCCCCACACAGCAAAGGACGGGACAGAACTGGCCCCCTGGCCCCAGTCTGCCATCCCGTTTTCCCTTCTGAGATATAAAGTCTGCTGAGGCCTCTGCTTTTACTGTTGGCCCATCCTCCTTTGCAAGTCCTTGCTTCCAGTGGTTGGAAGTCACTGCCCAGGTCTCATCAGGCCCTGGGATGTGCTCTGAGGGCATCCAGGGCTGTCCCCCACCACCCTCCCCAGCCCGCTGCTGTTTCTGGGGTGCCCGCTACCTCCTGGGATGCACCTTCTCTCTGGAGAGGGGCCAGGGTGGGCTGAGATCTCCATTCTGCCTGTATGCCCAGATGGAAGAGTTCCGGAAATGTCATCAGAAACCTGAATAAACTTCTGAGGGTCGCAGCACCCCAGGGAGGGTGGTGGGACAGACCTGTTCCTACCGGGGGCCAGGTCTTGGGTACCAGGGAAACTAGGGGGCCTGGTGGAGCCATGCTGACACCCCCAGCCTCAAGCCCTGGGAACCCTCTACTGGACACAAGGCCTGTGGTGCACCCAGCACCAGCTGCCACCACCCTGTGGACAGGGTGGGGCAGAACAGGCCAGGTCAGGTGAAGAACGCTGAGTCATGGGACGGACATTCCCACCAAGCCATGACTTCTGCTCCTGACCCTGCTCTCCTTAGGGACCTGGTGCATAGCTGTCACAGCCGGTCTTCTCTCCTTCCACCTCTGTGGTCACAACTTCCCTGACTCCAGGCTGGAGAAACCAGCCAGGGCAGAGAAGCCTCCCCAGCCCAGCTGGGGTGACCTGGCTCCGGGGTCAGGGGTCTCCAACCACTCCCCTGGCAGGGCCTTTTCCTCAAATCTCTTCAGGCTCCCAGAAAAACTAACATATTAACCAGCTCCCAGAAAAACTAACATATTAACTGCTTTGCCAGCCCAGCTGTGGGCAGAGGCCAGACCCCAGCCCGCCTGCCCAGCTCGGCCTGACTCACCTGGCATCTCTGCCCAGGGTGGGTGCTAGGCATGGCCATGAGGCGAGAGTGGAGTTTGGGGATGTCTGTATTGGGTGGAGGGTTAGGGGTGTCATACTCATTAATTAATCATTCCCTGTCCCCACCCCCATCCTCTGCTTTGTGTATCTGGATTCACCTGTTTTGAGTGTATCATATAAAAGGAATCATGGCCCTGGCTGGTGTGGATCAGTGGTTAGAGTGTTGGCCCATGCCCCACGAAGGGTTGTGGGTCTGATTCCCCGACAACGGCATGTACCTGGATTGCAGGTTTGATCCACGGCCCCAGTGAGAGTTGTGTAGGAGGCAACCAATCTATGTGTCTCTCTCACATCGATGTTTCTCTCTCTCGCTCTCCCTCCCTCCTTCCTGCTCTCTCTGACAATCAATGGAAAAAATATCCTGGGATGAGGATTAACAATAAATAAAAGAAATAAAGTAAAAGGAATCATGTACTCTGTGGCCGTTTGTGATAGGCTCCTTTGACTCAACACAATGTTTTCAAGTCTCATCCATGTTGCAGCTTTTAGTCTCTTTCCAGTGTCTGAATGACAGATATTCTACTGTAGACATGGACTATATTCATCTGTTGATGGACATTTAGGTCATTTTCACTCTTTTTTTTTTTTTTTTAACTTTTGAGAGAGGAGAAGGGAAAGGGAGAGAAACATTAATGGGCTGCCTCCTGCACACCCCCTACCAAAGGATCGAGCCTGAAACCCGGGTATGTGCCCTGACCAGGAATCGAACCGGAACCTTTCAGTGCCCGGGACGATGCCCAACCACCTGAGCCACACTGGCCAGGGCCATTTTCACCTTGTTGCTGTCGTGAACAACGCTGCTATAAAGAAACATCCCTGTAAAGTTTCTGTGTGGACCTGTTTTCATTCCCGTGGGTACACAGCCAGGCTGTGTCAGACGGTCATTCTCTGACCTTTTGAGGAACTAGCAGCTTGTTTTCCATTGTGGTTGCTCCATTTGACCTGCCCACCAGCAGGGAGGGTTGCAGCTTCTCCGTATCCAGACAACACATGTCCCTTTTCCATTCTCTTATTTGAATGTCATGCTTGTGGTTCTGATCTGCATTTCCCTGAGGGCTGATGACACTGAGCCCCTTACCAAGGGCTTGTTGGCCGTTCGTGTATCTTCTTTGGAGACACGTCGATTCAAGTCCTTTACCCATTTTAAAAATTGGATTGTTGGTGTTTTCTGTTGAGGGTTAAGGGTACATGTTCTGGACCCTTCTCAGATACATGATCTGCCAACATCTGCTGACATTTCATGGGTTTTTGTCCCCCCCTCTCCCATGGGCCCTGCTCGAAAGCTCCATCTTTGCCTCTCCGGCTGCTGTGTCTTGGTGTCATATCCAATGACCTGGTGCCATGAAGACTTGCCCCTGTGTTTTCTTCTAAGAGTTCTACAGTTCAGCTCTTAGGTGGAGGTGGATCCATGTGGTGGGTTTTCCGTATGTGGCGTGAGGGGGGCTGACTTCCACTTCCTCCGCACGCGGCTGTCCAGCTGTCCCAGGCCTCACAGGAATAAGTGTGTGTGATCAACCTGCCCCCGTGTGTAGGCCCCTTGGCAGTGCCAGGCAGGAGCCTCCCTGTGGGGCCAGCAGCTGCCCTGGGCCTCCCCTTCCTAGTCCTGGAGCAGCAAAGCCCTGCCCCAGCCCCTTGCCCCCCATAGCCCCTGAGCCTCAAGCAGGAGGCCTTAGCGATGGGCGTGGAAGGGGGCAGGCTTGCCTGGGTGCTGGGGGAGCAGTTCTCTGTGGCACGAAGGGCATGGGGTGCCTGGAGCCTTGGCCGGTCTAGAAGCCACTGGTTCTGCGGAGCTATGAGTCCCTCTCTGTCCTGGGCTAGGGGCTGCACAGGGACTGGACCTGGGCTTTTGGGCTTCCCCTGCCCGGGCCCTTTGGGTCCAGCTCCCCAGATGCTCTTCCTCCTGTTCCACTGGCTCCCTGCCCCATCCCGAGCTCTGGGGAGCGTGTGGGGGTTGTGAGGGCTCCCTCTGCCCATCTAGGCCCTGGGGTGGGGCTG